TCGGGCATTGTAGTCTCTAGGGCGGTCGCGTGAGGAAGTCAAGTGAGGGAACGTGAAATGTGAATGTGCGGAGCGTGGGCTTTTCCCCTCAGTGGGTGTGGTCATTACGGAACCAGGTGGACAGAAGTGAGTAGAAAGTTTCGGTACAGAGGGCACATAGGAACTGGCGAAGTAGGTGTTTGGGGCTTTTACAATATCAGTAATTTCAGAAAGAGGCTTCCCATCAGGGTATACTTGGAATTGAAGAGGAATCAGAGAAGCAACGCTTGTTGAAGAAGCGCCCCAGAATCTTGGATTGAAGAAAATGGGCTACGGTGTTAGCTTCCTCGCGCTTTTCAAGGGGTAATCTGCCAGATGTAATCTTAATCGTAAATTTGTTTTCAAAGTAAGTAGGGAGAGGACACGTGTGGATGGGCCCAAGATATTTTCTAATTTTATGGTGTAGAACGCATGGGCATCTGGCTAAACGACAACCAAAACACGTGAGGCCCGTGTGGGAGCAACTAGACATACTGTTGATAGAACATTTTCGTAAGAAAACGCTAGCCACGTTTAAGGGAGAGGAGTAGGAGAGTGTTTACTCGTCCAGCGGCAAGTGACAACACGATGGTTGCTGTCAGAAGCTTCGGAGCGACTGCAAGCATTGGCAAGTGCATGGTCCAAGGTTTGGGGACCGCATTTGGTGTGCCTTACAAGCTGAGGTCAGTACTCTACATCGGGCTGGGCTAATAGGCGAATAGAAAATTCGCGTTGAGACCAGCAGATCTGGGGAATTTTAAGGTCACCAACATTTAATTTGTTCGGGTGAGGTGGAGCTCGGATGTATGAAAGAAGCGTGGACAATTAACTAAGTGAGTAAGTTGTGCAAGGGACGTGTACAAAAACTGGAGGATAAACAGCGGGTTACATCGACAGGCAGAAAACCAAACAGTGTCTAGAGTGCCTGCAAGTACTGGATTGTCAACAGGGGAGACGTCCATCTCGTTCTAGAGTATTTGAGACGTTCACCACCATGGCGATGGGAATGATCGGAACGGTGGATAGTGTATTTCGGAAATGAGATAAGGGCATTAGGCGTCTTAGAGATTCAGTAATGCATGTGAAAGTTCGACAAGCTGTAGTGGAGATTGCTTGGATGTAATTGCTATTGAGGTCGGAGGAGGTAGTTAAAAAAGCTATTAAAAAGTTGGTATGCCCAGGGGGTCCATATGGAATAGGTTAAGGACAGGGGAGGCAGGAGTTCCCTAATCGCTGGCCGAAATAGAACAGCTTAAGAATGCGTAGGAAAAGATGCCGGAATATGCCATGGTGGATGTGGACACAATGATGTGTGGCGGTACAGATTGTAGAGATCTGTGGAGAGCTGGGTTGAGTAATCTTTTATAACGACCGTATCAACGGCATCGGAGAATGATACCACATATGGCAGTTGAACAGAAACAGGGGATGAGGTAAGGTAAGACGGATGGGCTTGTGTAGTGTCTAAGTAGGGAGAGATACGACGATATGACAGGGGCACCGATGGGATAGATGGTCTGTCTTGTAGTGCCTTCAACACCACTGGATGTGAACTCAGGCGAAAGCTTGCCGTATACCCGTATTTGCTCACAGGAGTTCGCATACCGCGCCCTCATAAGGGATATAGATTTGGAAGGAATACCTCTAATCGCCGGACACTACCAAAGTTTCTGACGATCGAGGGTCAAAAGTGGACTTCAGATCGAGAAAAACGATCACCATGGGACGTCTGAAAGAGCGGCGCCATTCAAGCACTTGTCACAAGGTAAAGGTATGATCGATGCATTCTTTACCAGAGTGAAACCTAGCTAAATTCTCACGGATCTCTCCCGATAATCGACCAACCTGTGCAAAATAATGCCAGAAAGCACTCTAGGTGTGATGGATGCCAGGCTGATGCCGCGATGTTTTTCGCATGACATTTATATGCCCCTTTTTGAAGACTGGGATGACGGTTCAGGAGCCCTGTTCGATTGTTTTCGTTCCAGACATTCCATGACATGTTCGTCAAAGTGTTCACCAGGACCCCGCCACCTTTGAGCAGTGCGGGCCAGGTGCCTCGTCGCGTTGGAGGGTTGGTACCTCGTGCTAGGTTTGTGTTGTTGATGGCAGGCTTGTGTCGAGCTCGTTGGGTTCTTCTAGCCGTTGTCTTGAAGGAGACTAGCTGAATTATTTGATGTGTTCAGCCCATCGCTCATGACGACGACTTTGTGAATTAATTGCCGTTCCGTTTTCTTTCCCCATCCTTCCGATGACGCTTCTACTCTTTTAACCGTTTGATAGGATCAACAGAAATAGGACGCGGCTGTTGCCTACAGTGAGGGCCTTCACAGTCCGCCAGTATTTTGTGTCATTGTTCACGCTCTTGATTATCCGATTTTTGAAGGATTTGTGTGTGCCGTCATATTTGCTAGTTGCTGGTGTGGCCTTTCTGGTAGCAGTAAGATCTGGTAATCTCAACGATATCCAGTGTTCATTTAGTCGAATCAGATGGCCTGGAGAAACAGTTTCGAAATCTGACAGTATTGCTTCTTTAACTCGCCCCCACCCAACCTCTAAACAATCTCCGTCATCTGCATGACTGTCGGTTTCCAGTAGCTTTCTAGCCAGACGAGATCGATACTCTTCAGCTACTGAAACTTTTCGAAGCTGACGAACGGAGCTGTTCAGCTTTGGCACGCATAATGATTATGCAAAGCGAAATGATAACTGGACTCGCACAGTCGCCTGATCAGAGTCAATTTGCGTATCCTAGAAGGAACAACAATCTTTAATTGAGGCTCTCCATCCATGGGGCCGGTTTGTCCTGAACACTCAGGGAGTGAGGCGTTACTGTTTTAATCGTTATAAAGATAAAAAGATAAAGCGTTCGGCTGTAGCACTCTTCCGGTGCCTAGCTGCCATGCCACCCGAAGGAAGCACGAGGGCTGGGATACTGCCAGGTTGCCCAAGCCTAGACAGGGGAAGTCGAGTGGCGGAGGTCGGATTCGAACCGCGGACCTTCAGGTTAGTAATCCGCGCTCTAACCACTTCGGCCATCTCGCCCCCTTTTTTAATCGTTTTTAATCGTTATGCGACTGGTCATAGCAGATGACTCCTAAACAGCAACGAACTCTTTGGTTTTAAAAGTATTTCGACCGTAAAAAATAGTCCACTGACGGTCACGGTTAACCACTGGATGGTCGGAGTGTTCGGTTTTTAGAACCGACCTTTTCTGACCCTTCTTCCATCGGGGTAGGCAACATCGCTGCTCCCATGAATATGGACATGCTGGTTGCCTGGGAGAAAAACCTCACTGCTTTCACACTCCTATAACAGAGGACAGTACGACTTTACCCCTAGACCGCCTCGTAGCACGGTTACTTGTAGTACTGGGTCTCGCTGCTCCTGGTTTGACTGTTCTCCTTTGGCCTTCCTGACATGATTGCAGCTTGTGTAACGAAGTTCCAGCCAATGTAGCCCGTGTGGTCATTGCAGCTCTCATGCCCGACCACCACGTCAAGGTGGCAGCTTTAGGTCGGGCAAGATTGAAGTACCTGCTGTACAACTAAATGACCGTTTTCTAATTATTTTGCTTATTAGTTGATGCCCGCGACGCTTCTGAGGCATCGGGGGTCAAAAACCTGAATACGCTTCACATCTCTCTATGGAGACCACGTCTCACGCCCACAAAACAACACAGCTCATACTCTCGCCTGGTACACACGACCCTTGAAACCAGACATGCCTTTTTGACGCCAAATTGACTCAGATTCGCGTACTTGATTCGGTCTTAGATTCTTGCACTAACTTTCACAGATACTTCTCTGTCAGAGGTATGTAAACTTCTCAACAACCTTCGTGATTCTTGTAAGAAATATGTTCGGAAAGTGCACGTTATGAAGAATGACTTTGCTGTTTGAAGGTTAAAGAAAAATAATATGACGGTGGTCAATCTATTAAATACAGCTTGTGCTTCGCCTTGGTCTTCAAAGTCGAGGATGACGTCGTCTGCGTGCTCCAGATCCACAAGGTTCTCACGAGCAACAACTTGAACAACGGCGTTTTGAAGAACCTCCAGCTTTCGCCTCATTATTTCACCAACGACGAAGTTGAACAAGAACGGTGAGAGTGAATATCCTTGTAGGACACCAATTTTTGTGGGGAAGCTTTCGAAGAATTCATGATACACACACGCCCAGAAATATGTGAATATAGGGATCGGACTATATTCACAAGCCTCCGGGGCATCGCGGTAAACACCACTGATCGACCGGACGGAACGAACCTTTGAAGTCGAGGAACAAATAAATCATTCAGCTGTAACATTCTTTCGGTGCCCAGCTGGCATGCCACCCAGAGGAAGCATGAGGGCTGGGATTGTGCCAGGTTACTCAAGCCTAGACAGGGGAAGTTGGGAGGCGGAGGTCGGGTTCGAACCACGGACCTTCTGGTCAGTAAATTCGCGCTCTAACCACTGATCCATCTTGCCAAATGCATGGTCCACGTCGGTGTTACAGAAGGAGCAGCAGGCCGTGTTCGCCCCTCGCCACCGATAACTTACAGCGATGTGATCTTTTTGGATTCGGGAGAGGTTCGTTCGTGGACACCACGTTGTTGAGCAATTCAGGAAATTGGTACTGCAAAGGAATAGCCTGTGATTGGCACATATCTGAAGCAGGCGATCTCCGTTGTCCGTACATCTCGTGTCCAATCCAAGATGATCACTTAATCGGGCCTCAGCAGTGCTTAGTCTACCCACCTGGGTGTTAATATCACCAGCTTTTGGCTGGTTGTAAAAGAGCAACCAGAGCGTTATGGGAACTGTCTTTGCAGACTCAGAGCTACAGTCGGTTGGGGCGTAAGCAGAAACAATAAATTGGACGCGATCGACCTCACCTTCTCTAGATTCCTTCACAGGCGTTGTCAAATAAACCACGCATAGGCAACTATCAACGGGTATCCCACCAAGTAGAGACGCCTCCGCTCGGTTGCTCAATACAATGCCCATCATAGCACATTCAGCTGCAGCAGTATTTGCATCACCAGAGGTGCATAGGCGGAATCTGGAAGAGAGTGAGAGGGCAGTCAGCTCAATCACTTGCGTCCTTTGTTTGTTTCTGACAGACAGCATGCATCAATGTAGAGGGAATCCAGCTTCCGGGCAAAAGCCGCCCGTTGTCCTGCTCGCTTCAGTGTTACTGGAGTGAGACGTGCAGAAGCTGCAGCTGAGTGTGATGCATAGCGACCAAAACGACCGACCCAACGCTGGGTTTGCGGAGATAGGGTAGCAGAAGGAAAACGTGAAATTGAGAAAGCAATCTGGAGTTGACTGACTGGAAGAGATTCGAACAAAAGGAACCCTCACTAATGTTCTCTTCGTTCTTGGTGGCTTTGTAACTCGTAGCTGATTTGGTGTATCAGATTCTTTAAGGGCTTTCTCCAACAATGGAGACAGCTGTTACGAGACCAAAAGTGCCTCTGGTTCAGATTCTTAACTGACTTTTCAGTTGTTTCTGTCTAGCCCCCGGTGACCTGGAAGTACCGTCGCCCCCATATATCTTTTTGGTTGCGCGTTAGCTGGGTGCTGTTCACTTTGCTAATTAACGACTTTGGTGCATGCACTGAACGCAATTAGAGTTTGCATTCGAAACCACGGCCTTCAGGCACCTTATCTTTGTTCACAGAGACTGCTACTCCATCCTTAGGGGTGTTAGTAGCTGTTGATGTTTTTTTCTCGAGTTCACTTTTGTTTTGACGCCTGTCGATTCATGTTCCTTGTAGCCTCACAGCGGCCACTCAGGTTAACAGCAATCTATCTACAGAACTGTTTAAACATTTGTTTAGCCGACCCATCCACAGTCACAGTATGGAGCACTTATCTACATTGTGTGACTCATTGCGTGCAACGGGTAGTCACACGAATCGATCGAAACTCATTGCTGATTTTCTACGGAATTTAGGTAGTTTTGAACATGTGGCTTCCTTTAGTAGCATTTCTGGTGTAGATGGTTCACAGAATGACATATATATTCTATTTCGGCTGCTACTACCAAAGGAGACGAAGCTTGTGTATAACCTCAAGGATAAGCAACTTATTAACTTGTTCAGTGAACTTTTCGAGGCGGATAAAGACGCTATGCTGAAGGATTTGGAACAAGCGGTTTGTTATCTTTCTGTTTGTTACTTTAACACGATTCCTTCTGTTTTGTAGGAAGACGCAGCAACTACGATTGGCACGTTTTTTGCGAAAAGCGATGCTGTTTCACCTGCCTCCAAAAGTTCACTCTCGCTTACTGAGGTAGATTATGACTTTCGGTGATACTTGAGGAGCTTCCTAAGTACTGATTTTCTCGCTAATTTATCCAACCTTAATGAGTGGAGCGTGCCGTGTCAGCTTTCCTTTATCCGTTGGACCTATCACCCACCTAGCCACCTGTAACTGTGTGTTTGTGGCAGTGCAGTGTTTGTGCTCCTTGATTCACAATGACGAAGTCTTCTAGGGGTTCGTTTGGAGTTGTGTCCCCTTGGCAGGTTTTCGGATGGGACACCTATGGTGTTATGGCTTCCGTAATACGAGAAATAGACCAATGTTTTTCACTTTACGTCCTTTAATAACACGAACTGTACTGATCCTTTAAAGAATGGGATGCGGCTCAGAGTCCAATATTTTAGACGGAGGGACGATTTTTTGATAATTTTGTTTTTGTTCGGAAACGGTACAGTATTATCGAGGTACTGCAATTTCGGGTTGGTACTTTTCCAGGGGGGATTTTTCTGGTCGAGCATACAGAATATTTCCTATTGTGATTTGAAATCAGCAAAATAGATTCCCTGAACCAAAATGCAGGCACTTTATCGTTCCAGTAATAACTGAGGAAGTATCGCAGTGCAAACACCGTATGCAATTTAGCCGTTCGGCTGGAACACCCTTTTGGTGCCTAGCTGGCATCGATGGCAACACAAGAGTTGAGATACCGCCATGTTGCCCAATCCTAGACCAGAGCAGTCGAGATGCCGGGATTTAGTCCGGAAGACGGAACTTCCGGTCGTTAGATTCGCGTCCTAATCTCTGAGCTGTCTCGTTTACTGTCATTTACTATCCCATTCGTTGGTGAACTATCACTCTAAAGCTTTTATACCAGTAGAACAACGAGTGTATCATCCTTTCACATCAGTGGATTTTTTTTGACTGGGCATGACGTGATTCAGCTGATAATTCAGACTTGCATACAGTTATAGTGGTGCCATAGTCCTAGTATCATTCATTTTAACCTTTCACGGTTGGAACACCGACGCGAGGGGAATAAGACTGAATAAAACAATACACGATGTCTCTTACGACACTTAACAATTTTCGAATAGTTCCCGTTGTCTTTATGGTTGTAAATATATCCGTCCTCGTTTAAAATTTGGGGGATCTCTTCGAGATTAGCTAGACAAAAAAACCAGAGTTCTCAGTAGCCTATGTGGCTGGCGAAGGTCATCGTGTTGCGTTGGTATGATCTAATCATGGGTGTGCGAGAGATTAGATAAACGATTCTGTTCACCCTGGAGGTACGCAAAACTTTCGTTTGGTTCTCCCAACTAGAAAACACCACCGACAGAAATTTTAAAATCTTCCGAAGGTGTCTCATCAAGGGAAAGCATTCTCTTTTCCTTGGTGGATCTTCAAACTCTGTACTCTAAATGAATCATCTATACCGACCAATTTCCGGTCCTCCTCAGGACATAATGACATAGTCCGGTTCACATTTTTCATTCGCTTTTTGGTCTCAACATCGCACGTTTCGTCCAACTCAATTTATCCATGGAACACTTCATCCTAAACAGAAAACTGAATAAAACATGAAGATTGAATGCAGTGATGTTGTGTAAACTTATTGTGTGATTGCGTTATCAACATTTCGGTACGAAGGAGAACACTGGCGCAAATTAGGTACACAGGTTCTTACTGCCGTGCCGTTATAGCCCAAGTGCTCGGCTTTCATAGGAGAAGTAACTGTCGAGGTGCATGAGGATTTTTATGTCCTTCCATTTCTAAGCTTACCGATGCGAATTGGTATTGCTGGTTGTTTCGGGATTTGAGTACCCATTTAACCGAGAGTGGGGGGTATTTGAGCGTTCTAAAAGAGAAATGACAGCGACATGTCTCAGTTTCTCAATATCGATTGTAAATAAGATTTGTGTTGTAATTTTTACGTGGGTTGTTCGTTTCACTCCTGATCTGATAAGCCCTGTTGTCTCACTGGACACTTCTGATACTCGCACCTCAGTGACGTTCGTTGGTTTAGATTCATGACTACCTCACAAAGTTTTCCAAATTAATTATACTGAACCTCAAACCCAAACGCTTTTCAAAGACATAGCAGTTTGATTTTAACAGTACTTCTGAGGCTTATGCGAAGAACGTGAACAGATTTATGTATTAGTTTTGCATTTAAATAGGCCGTTCTAGCAAGCAAATCGGAGAGAAGAATGTTTTTCGATCATTTGCTGTGGCGGGTGAACAGGACGATGAAGGTCGTCACCCATTGCTTTTCAGCTCATCATTAGCCCAGCTGGGCTCGGTGTAACGCTAAAGTGATGGCTAATCTAACCCTGGTCACCTTTGTGGGAGATTTAGAGTTTACCTGTGTTTGTATCACTTTTCTGAGTTCCAAGCTGGTCGGACTACTCTTGACAATCACTCTTGTGCTACCTAGTTTAGCCCAGCTTTCTTCCGTTTGGAGAGAAGTTCAGCGATTTGCCTCTGAACCTGAATTTTGGAAGCATCCAAGCGTTTGCAATTCCACTTTCAAACTTACTTAGTAGCTATAGTTCTTTTGACACAGTCGATAGTTGTCTGCCGATTTAGTACTTCTTTTGCGGCCCACCAGGTAGGTTTATTCCCCAAATTTAAACCGATCTTGTTTCCTACTTCAATTCCGAACGAACCAACTTGATTTACCAATACAGTCAATTGAATGTCAGTTGAGCCTATAATAATAAGTCCAACCGAAGATTAAAACTGATTGTTGGTGGGAAAGCACAACGCTATAAGCATAGTTTTTCTATAACTTGGCGTTGCGATCGTCGCGGGTGACTTTTGTCATGATTAATTTAGTCGGAACTGGAAAGAACAATACAGACGGATTGACTCTGTCATTGACACCGATTTAATTTACAAGTGGGAAAGTTTATAACGCATTTCTTTTGGAACAAGCCTTCAAAATTGCACTCCTAAGTGAGTACCAGTCGAACATTCATGTGGCTCGTCTGTTTACTTCATATTGTCTACAGTGATCGCCCAGTCGTCATTCTAATGTTCGACAGCATGATATCAATGTCCAACAGGGATGCTTAGCAGCTGTAAAACCATGATTTGTTTTGAAGCCTTATTGCGAAGAAAAAAGAATAAAGGTGGATGCGGAACGGACTGAGTGCTAACTTGGCACAATCTTTTCGAGGTGCTTACATCTCCAGACACTTATTCAGGAAATATGGATAGAATATGGAAACAAGAACCCCATTGACATCGATTAGTGGCCATATCTTTCAGCGTCTCCATCCAGGTGCAGTAGGGATCTCGCAGTGCCCATCCTGGAAAGCGAGTGGGATTGACAACCCCCAGACCTTTCGTAATCTCATTCATAACCCTCTACGAAGTCAAGGGTTGACCACCTCTTTACTTCCGCCACTCTGAATTGGGCACAGAAAACAGCACTCTCCGTCAAACGATGGTTCGGCATACGCAATACATGGTCTAACCAACGCAGATTCTGAGACTGGACACATTCTTCCATGGAAATCCAGGTTACACAACCGAGCACTCGCTTTCTAGTTGCCGTGTTATAGATTCGCCAACACCAACCCACACGGGCTATGGTTGATCCAGCGGTTATCGAAAACCTGAAGATGTCTCAGTTCCGCTGCTCGAACAGGTCAAATCTCACATCCATACGACAAAACAGTCCGTACTGTAGCCTGAGGGATGTTCAGGGAAATACCGCTTTGATGCCACAGGCGACCCGAGCCTTGAAGATTCGTGCATTAACCTCATCTGTCACACTATAATTGGGACCAATATAACTTCCAGGATACGTAAAACGCGTGTTCAGTGACGGCATATCCTCTAGCATGACCTCACACCTGGGTGCAAACTGCACACCAAGGGACAGGATGATTGTGGTCAGTTCATAAAAAAACTGCGCCTTCTCTCCAAATACGAGAGCCGTATCGTCTGCATATTCCAGATCGACGAGGTTTTCTTCAAAGGCTATATGAGCACCGGAGTGTTGAAGACCTCCCAGCATCCCAGCCTCTGCGCAAAAATGGTAGTATTAAAACTTTAAACCCTTCTTATCGTTGCCATTTTTTCGGAATATTCACACATTAGATCATACCCAACGCGGAATGCTCTGTACCATTCACGTGTATTCTTCATTTGGAGGGCCTTATTCAACAGTAAGACAGTTGCCGATTGCGTAATGCACATCAAATGAAGGGGGCCAGCAACCACCACTCTATATATCACCTGAACCCTTATTAGCGTCCACTTTGATCATGCCGAACTATATCCTGGCTAAATACCACTTGGACTTGGTCATTCAAGTTCTCAGGCTCAGTTTATAACAGTTCTTTGGGAAGCAAAGGCCTTCGCACAATCTGCTCGGTTTGTAGTTAATTCTGATTGAGTTCTTTGAGGATACCAGCTTTATCCTCTCCTGATAGGAGTGTATAAACAAGCTTTGTTAATCACTGTGGTTTGGCAACTGGTGTAGGATACTGAAGATACTACACAGCCTGCCCGGGGTCCGACTAATTAATGTTTGGGCTGGGCTGGACATTGTCAGACGTATCCAACAGTGACCACAGTATCCTCCGCATTGTAGTGTTTGACCTCAGACAATTAGTGTGCCGATCACGAATTGTTGCCAGGTCTGTTTACCTCAATACTTGCTTACCAGTGGTGCAAATTTAATAAGCTCTGATTACTTTGAGTAGATTCGATAGAATTCTGTTCGATAGCGGATTCCCAGTCAATGGATCCCCACTCAACTGAGCCAACACATTCTCTTTTCATTGCTCAGGTAGACCAATTCCTCCAGGATCTTGCGAGTGCGACCAAGGATGTCGACAGACTTCCACTTTTGAAAAAGATTGTGAAGCGATGTACTGTCAAAGATTTGGTGTTGCTTGTGCGTATCATACGTCAGGATCTTCGTATCAATGCTGGGTGCAAGCAGATGTAAGCCGCATGTTTTCATACTGGATTTTCACCTTCTGTACCCATGTGTACAACAGCTCAGTGGAACTAAATCTGATACTCTGTTTGATTGCCTCTTGATTTGTAGTGTTGCGAGTCCTGGTGCTTCCAACCTTACCTGGTTTATCGGTCTAGAATGCTCCACTGTTGCGCCGCCACTCGCTTAACTGACTTAGTTTTACTTTTTCTGTGTGAGGCACTGCGCAACCCTCATTTAACAACCACACCATTAATGCCCGTAGTACTGTGGCGCAGTTACCATTCGTCCAAGTTAACCTCGATTGTATGTATGTCGTCTAGGTACCCAAACCCAAGCAGCCCAATTATCAGGATTCATACCCGGACAATACCTTAGACGGGCCATGTGGAAGTATGGGGGCGGGATTGCTCAAGTGGTTAGAGCGCGAATTTACTGACCGGAAGGTCCGTGGCTCGAACCCGACCTCTGCTTCTCAACTTCCCCCGCCTAGGCTTGGGCAACCTGGCAGTATTCCAGCTCTCGTGCTCCCTTTGGGTGGCATGGTAGCTAGGCACCGAGGGAGTGTTACAACTTAATGATTATCTATGGTGATTCTCTTTCAGAAAGAGAACTTGAGACGAACCAGATTTGTTCTCTTATGCGGTATTACTCTCACTCTTTGGTCACCGAAACTGACTCACAGAAACAACTTGTATGCGGACATTCACCAACATCTGAATGACATTGATCTCTACCACTTTATTGTAGTTAAAAAGGCACATTTCATCATTACATCGTTGTCGCATCCTTTTTGAATCACTTGTTTGTTTCTCCAGGCTCCGGACTGAACACACTGCAAGCTAATTCAGTGGAGCTGTAATAACTTGCGTGTGATAGCTTGGTCACCTAACGAATGTCCTTTCGGATTTTCCGACTATCTTGTCATCGCGGTATCCTAGAGTAGAACCCTCAAAGCAGTTCTAATCCAACTATCTCCTTCATAACGTACCCTGATCTATCGTAGTCGGTTAGCGGAAACTGGCATACTATTTATGTAATTCAAATACTGTTGCCAAGTAAAACAATTACCACTAAAATCGTGTTCAACTCTGGTGAGTATTCTCCATCCATTACCAACTAGTGATAATGGTATGCAATAATGACAGCGATAACGAGCAACAATCAGACAAAATATTAGGCTGTGAATCAGGCAAGGTTGGTTGTGTTGCCGGTCTAAAGAAGTTCATTGCCAATTTTTTGTCGCACCTTTTTTATGTGTATGTTTCGGGATCTTTGTTTGTTTGTTTCTTCTACACCTAGACTGGATGGTCTTCATCCTCAAGCTTACGGTGCGTTCCAAGCTTCACGTGATCTAAAGGCTGTGATTAGCAAGGTTCTAGCTGCTACGGGAACTACAGGCAACACACAGACCGCCGGAGCAAAGAAGCTTTCAATGAAACGCAGCGTGAGCACTGGCATTCGGTTGATGACGCCGATAAAGCCAATGCTAGCAGAGGCTTGCCGTTCTGCTGCACAGGCCTTAGCCAAAGCAGAGCCAGGTGGAGAGCTCTTCGCTGAGATCAAATACGACGGAGAACGTGTGCAAATTCACAAAGATGGAGACAAATTCGCTTTCTTTTCTAGGAGTCTCAAGGCCGTTCCGACCAACAAGGTATGGTGACCATCCCTTACTTCTTTACAGTTGAGGGTTGATCGGTTGTTATGCCGTTCGACTTGGCTTGCTATGGAAAATGACTCCTCTGGAGGGACAACTGACGTAAATGGCAGAACTGGTTGTTTTTTGGCTTTTATGCTTAGACTGTGTAGTAGTTCGGTGCCTTTCTGTAAAACAAAATACACTTCATTATCCCTCCCTGATTTAATTCGAGGATCATAACAGGCACCAAAGGTTGTCACCATGGAGAGTTAGAGGTCTTACTGTAAAGGTCTTACTAAACGACGTATAAATCAAACCAGCGCCCTCACGAAACTTCAAAGGCAATCTGATGCTCTCTGTCGAATATGGTCGCGAATGATAGGTTGATGCGGTGTGTGGTTCGTGATGAAGCTTGCCACTTAGATCCTTATGCTCGTGGCTAAAGCCAAAGGGACGTCATATAAGCCAACTTGATCGTAAGATTTGTTTGGCCCTATTTTTTGTCCTGAATCGCATAATTCACTCAGTTATCGATCTCTTTAGAGAGCGAACCTGGATGCCTAGTCTGAGGATGCCTGTCCTGAAGGAGGTCTAAAAATGACCTCCTTGGAAGCTAACAACTTTGTAGGTGTACTTTTGTCTCCCTGACTCTTTCTAATAGTACTGTACGTTGTGTTAAGTATAGTAATGGATAAATTCCCGTGGGTTCCGAGGCTGAATAAGAAGCACTATTTCCAGCTACTGTATTTTGATCTTAAATGAAATTAATTAGAAGGGACTTTGTGGAACAATATCCGTATTCCGAATCCAACCACAGACAGTATCCCAACCTTCAGACCTCCCACGAGTTCAACGGCAGCTGTTTGATGAAAAAGTGATTGATTACTTTTTTATATCCAGAGTCTTCAGTTGACCAATGACCTTGCGGAAGTATCACGAGCACACTGTCGGTCGTTCTCGGCGACGAAGCTGGCTCATATCATCCAGATGACAAAGACTTAAGGCAATCAAGATCGAAATTCAAGGACATCCTTTCATCGTATCGTCCACGCTCTCCACCAGCGAGGAAGAAGGTTCGTTGTTCCGAGTCTTGATCAATGCGATTAGCGGTCTCTCACTCCCTGACCAAACGCCGCTACTTTGGCACGTGGCCGGGCCTGAGTACTACAATGATTTTGTAGGCCATACTGCTGGAAACTTCTTTCGTTAAGGTTAAATCATGAGTACATTGGTCTGCGTAACAATACTTGTATGTTCTTATTTTCCTTGTCGTAGTAGGCTTCGTAGCCATGCTATTGAGGAATATGTTCAGCCGAGGTTACGCTCTTGTTTCCTTAGGTGGGTATCAACATTCATAAGAAAAGCATGAACCAAACGGATACGTTACAGGAACCTGCTTTCCAGTTATTTTTCGTGGGACATCATCTGTTTTCAACTGTTGGTATGTAGTATTTGATTTAGGTTTTCTTTTTCATGCTTGTTTAGGTTTCTCACGTGGAGCCTTACATTCCCCAAGCGTTCGCTCGGGCCAAGCAGCTGGTTATTGACTGCGAAATTTTGTTGCTGGACACGAAAACCAACAAACCCCTTCCGTTCGGTTCACTAGGCGTACATAAGGTATTTTTTAGTCGGAGTTACATGTAAAGCCTGTTTTTTTCTGCTACAACTTTGAATATGCAGTTGTCCAGGCTTAGCCTAGGTTGGAGGTGTGAAAATCGTACCATCACTTTACTCAAGTGTAGACAAATAAATGGTCCATTTTAAGGACAATATTGTGTCTCTGAATGCGTTTTTTTAAGTTCACATGGATTTCGGATTGACGAGGGAAACAGGCCAAACAGACGGCTAACGTCACAAGGATGTCCTTTGAGTAGCCAGGGCAGATTATTCCACGTTTGAAGTCAATATATCACGCGGCTGATTAGTATGTTTGTTGGTTAGTCTTGACAAGACGGCCTATATTGATAAATCGTCGTTTCGGTTGACACAGACAGATTGGTTCTGAATGACCACACAACATTTTTCCGTATTTATCGGGAAGCCCGTCGTGCGGTTTTATCAAACTTCAACATGAGCAGTTTTTTCAAGGTAGACGATACAGTACAAAGCAACTGGTTCACCCAAGGGTGACCAAATTGACTATGTGGGTAATATTTCCCATGGGGACAGGCATTCTGGTTACGTCGGAGATATTAGCAGTGCCGAACGCAAGGAAGCAACTGGCTCACCCAAGGGTGACCAACTTGACTATGTGGGTAATATCTCCCATGGGGACAGGCATTGTGGTTATGTCGGAGATATTAGCAGTGCCGAACGCAAGAGCCGTGCTCTTCCTCCGCCTCAAAACGCGTTTCAGTATCTAAAAAACAAATGATGATCCAGCCATTGCTCTGAACGCACTAACATGGTCTTGTTTCACCAGGCTCAATCCATTTGGACAGAACTTCCGATACATGCTGAACAGTGCTGTGTGGAATCTCTGGCGATTCAGATCCAATCTGTTTGTTTCAACCGAAACGACGGCTTGTCCATATCGAGTGTCTGATTAGAACTAATGAACAAGCGCACTAGTTGGTTGCGTGATGCAATAATTTCAACTTCAAGCTTCAACGGACCATTGTGGACCCATCCCCATGACCAATTAAATGATAGGCAGGTGACTGTTAGTTCTCAGTTTAGTTTGTTTTCAGTTAGCCTGATTATCCTATCCCTGAAAGTTTCGCGGTAGACAAAACGTCAAGCGATACACATTGGTATATTAATGTCGTGTTGTTCCATCACAATTCAGTCGATCAAAATGATTGCGCTGGTTACTGCGTTAGGTTCATGTGCGCTTCACTCAGTATCACCTGATTATCCCCTGAAAGTTTCGCGGTAGACAAAACGTCAAGCGATACACATTGGTATATTAATGTCGTGTTGTTCCATCACAATTCAGTCGATCAAAATGATTGCGCTGGTTACTGCGTTAGGTTCATGTGCGCTTCACTCAGTATCATGAAGATAAATTTCCACTTTTCTCGTTATCAGCTCTCAGCACCAGTATTAACTGGTGTGTGGATCACAGTTTTTCAGTATACTTCGTATGTTGGACAGTACAGGACTGTACTACTCGATGCAGCAACCAGAATAAGATACCGGGGCTGTCAACCCTAGACATGATTCTACATCAAGGGTCCTAATATTAGGATAGAATAATCACCTCATATGTTTGGTAGTCGTTAAAAATCATGAACTGTTTGCTTCTAGTCACCGCGTTATGGCCACTCTCTAGGGGCGCTCTGTGATCCGTGGTTGTCTTCCGATGGTGAGCGTTAGAAAGCTTTTTAGCTACGTTTCCGCGATAGATAAACATGATAGCTAAACCTCCCGCCGTTTAAAAGTAAGAAACAAGCTGCGAGCCAGACAGGCGGAACCGTTTTCATAACGTGGTGCACCTGGCCAGGAGTCGGGCTACGATGGCTTGTTGGTAGGTGTGTTGGTTCACTCGCCATGATGTCGTTTTTTTCATTGAAATTTCCTTACCAATCGTTCGATCGAGTTAGGATTGTGGGTTGATCTAGTGTAGAGTTGCCAACATTTTTTATACGCAGTAGGACTGCTTTTGTGCTCAAAATACGTCTGATGGTATATGGTAATTTGCTCGTTTGCTTTAGCTACTAGAATGTATAGAGTAGTGTACAGTAATCCAGCAGTTTTTTATTAGGGAAGGATTGCACCCAATTTCACTATCACCAGTGTGGTCGTTAATAGACAAAACAGTGCTGATCTGTTCGGAGGATCTCATCCAGTATAATACAAACGTCCATTACCTAGCTGACGTTACCATCATCATCATCATCAACGACAGCATGACATCAGTGCTCAACACCAATGCTTCACTGCCGTACAGCCATGACTTATTTGAAAGCCTTATTGTAAAGAAAAGAATAAAGGTGGATGGGGGAGGGACTTAGTGCTAGCTTAACACAATCATTCCGAGGTGCCTACACCTCCAGACATTCATTCAGGCAATCTGGACAGAAACTGACGTTACCAATATCAAACATAGCTATAATCGTCGTCTTTGTCGCTGTCCCGCGTTGTACATGTGATGGGATACTTTCATAAATCAGGACGGTTAATATTCCCACCCGAGGCCCTGATCGCAAGACAGCAAGGGTAAATATATAGCCAACATAGCCGTCAAAGTTTTAGGCAGAGTGCCTCTGTACTTGTCCCAACCAGAGGCCTGGATGTCAGTAGACCGTGTCCGCTGAGCATCCTTTGGTCCCTTTATGGAAGTGATTTTATGTACTGATAGTTCAATAAGTTACACAGGCCATCTTATTGAGGGATTTCTAATGGAGGGCCCGATGTATGCCATGGGGCATGCGTAATACAAGCAACTGATACTTTCCACAAAAGACGTCATACAAGAGTAATAAAGTTTATTTGAGAAATTAATAACTGATATCTCGTAGAAATATCTTGATACAGGGCAGAGCGTATATGAATGAGGGCCACAGGATGCTGTCTTCTTGGACGGAGCTTGGAAGGGATCTTCTGTTGCTCTATGTCGTCATTCTTAGCTTCAATCGCCACTCAGCTCACCCCATTGATCTTTGAAACCCAAACAATTCAGCTTTAAAGGGCTACATTTATTTACGGTTATTGGTACTGCACAAAGGTATAACTAACACATATGGTAGGTAATCATTAGTAAACATTGCACAAAACATTTAGGAGCGTGGTTTCAGTCACTTGTGTCCTTCTGGCTATCGGGCACCGGCACATGAGGTATCCTGGAGACGTTGCTTGATCAGTGTTGTGGTACAGCTTTATGGGTTGTTGAAATATAGCAAGCATTGCACAGCGGCATGTTCTACCTCTTCTGTATGTCCGAAAACACGCGGTTCTACATCGTTATGCGTTTTCAACTTCACTTTCATAACGTTTTTCTAGCATGGTCGTTTGAAATTCAAAATTTTGTGATTTTCATCTTCACTTTATAGCGAGCCGCTTTCAAAGATGCCACTGTATGCATTTTCGTATTCGACTGTCTGTATCTGAATGGGGAGTCTTTGATTCATAAGTAAGTTACGAATTTGTTCTTTCAGCAGATACTGAAAACTGAATAAAATAGTCGGTCATTTTTTCAGGTTACCTCAGTCAACGTGGACTCATTGGTCTCGTTTTATCTTTATCATGGTCGTCCATTAATATTGGCTTTCACCTACTTGCGCCACTAGTCGTTCGCAAGCTGATGTTTTTTCTATGGAACCGACGCCGTATAACTGGTTTGTCTTGAATTTTCAGTTTCGATGTGGCCAACCATCCTATACCCATACCTATACCTATATACCGTCACGAGAAGACTGGACCTTACCGTGGCGTGACGGTTTGCGCACCTCAGCGATCCATTGAGCTATACTGGAGAGTATCCCGCGATACTCACAGAGTCTCATACCAGGTTGGTCAATGGTTAGAGGTCTGACGAACACAGTCTCCTGGTCCTCCAGGTTGGGGGTTGGAATATGTATGGCGACTTGTTCCGTAGAAGTGGTAAGGCATTTGCATTTCCCGCCAAACACCGTTGCCTTGCGGTTAGGCTTTTGAGCCAAAGGCTCTGGTTGAGGACCCTAATCGTCCTCCTGTCTAGGTGTGGGCGCCCTGGCAGTATCCCAGCCCACGTACAACCTGTACGGCAGTGAAGCATCGGTGTTGAACACTGATGTCATGCTGTCGATGATGCTGCTGCTGCTGATGATGATGATGATGATGATGAACCATCCTATACCGGGTGGTTTGAAACTATTCGCTCAATTCGCTTTTTTGATCACATGATTTTGTTGTGCCTCGCTCCCTAGAGTGCGTGGGTGCTGTGAAAGAACCATTCAATGTCCATATCGTTCAGGTATTTCTCTCGAGTTTACTGTTGTGAAATATCGATAACATACTGTTGCTCTTCGCAATATAGAAGAGTCCCCAACAGCCTCGTGAATTTCAACGCCACACGCCTGACTTCAATGATACTGACCACGACAGTGATCTTTTCGGAGAGACAGCTTTGCCATTGCTTATCCTTTCCAAAAATTACGTGACAGGATCGTTTGTGTTTTCAACGTAACGCTTTCCGTGTTCGTTGTCCGACGCACCCTATTGGGTTCAGCTTATTTCATTCCAAAATCTCGCTGTTCCGATAACGTCTTAACCACTCATTTACTAACTTTTCTACCCCACTACGTCTTTCCAGACCCATTTCCTCCCGTCGAAGTGTCTTGGAACAATACTTCTGCGAGGTACCCCACCGAGTCCTGCTGTCTGAGAGACACGTAATCCAAGTAAGTCTGGCATCTTTTAACTATTGTGACCCGTGTTCTATTTGCTTGTAGGATATTCCATCTCTCAACATACTCATGGCTCGTGTGTTTTCGGAAAATTTGGAAGGATTGGTACTGAAGCCGTCCCATGTGAGTTATCCTGCTACCCTATCCGGTTCTGTGGTCAGATTTACCTGAACTATCCCTTTAAGAGGCTTGCTCATAAAGCTAAACTTGAAGCACCTTGGTAGTTATAATCATAAGGTCACATACTGTTCACACGACTACTTACCTTGTACGGTAACAATATGGTTTGAAACTATTCGCTCAATTCGCTTTTTTGATCACATGATTTTGTTGTGCCTCGCTCCCTAGAGTGCGTGGGTGCTGTGAAAGAACCATTCAATGTCCATATCGTTCAGGTATTTCTCTCGAGTTTACTGTTGTGAAATATCGATAACATACTGTTGCTCTTCGCAATATAGAAGAGTCCCCAACAGCCTCGTGAATTTCAACGCCACACGCCTGACTTCAATGATACTGACCACGACAGTGATCTTTTCGGAGAGACAGCTTTGCCATTGCTTATCCTTTCCAAAAATTACGTGACAGGATCGTTTGTGTTTTCAACGTAACGCTTTCCGTGTTCGTTGTCCGACGCACCCTATTGGGTTCAGCTTATTTCATTCCAAAATCTCGCTGTTCCGATAACGTCTTAACCACTCATTTACTAACTTTTCTACCCCACTACGTCTTTCCAGACCCATTTCCTCCCGTCGAAGTGTCTTGGAACAATACTTCTGCGAGGTACCCCACCGAGTCCTGCTGTCTGAGAGACACGTAATCCAAGTAAGTCTGGCATCTTTTAACTATTGTGACCCGTGTTCTATTTGCTTGTAGGATATTCCATCTCTCAACATACTCATGGCTCGTGTGTTTTCGGAAAATTTGGAAGGATTGGTACTGAAGCCGTCCCATGTGAGTTATCCTGCTACCCTATCCGGTTCTGTGGTCAGATTTACCTGAACTATCCCTTTAAGAGGCTTGCTCATAAAGCTAAACTTGAAGCACCTTGGTAGTTATAATCATAAGGTCACATACTGTTCACACGACTACTTACCTTGTACGGTAACAATATGCATTGAAACTCTCTTAGTGACTGTCTTTAATCGACCGCTTTTAGTCCGTCATTTGTGGAACAAGTTCCCAACTCTTCCGTAGCGGTAGTCAGGGCAGATTCGTTCTTCCCGCAACTGGGTAAAGTGTTCTTTCTCTAGAAGTGAAGAATGTGATATTTGGATCAGTACTTCCTCTATTTAACAACTCTTGTAACGATTGTCTAATACCATGGTTAGCTGTGTGTGACACAACCGTCCGAGTGCTGGCTACTACGTGGTACGACTACCTTTTTTGCAAAGGAGATTCATCATATCGGAGTTTTAGTTTTATAAGCATCCTTTCTAGTGAATCTTCAAACTTCGAGGGTATCCTGCTCAAAGCGGCAGCATACGTTCTGGTTTTCTTGATCATCCAAAATGGCCTATCATCCACATTTCAGTGAGGCTTCAAAGATCACTGGTGACTGATCCGATGGCAGTTGATCTGTTCGCCGAGCTTGGCAATTGGCATGCAAACGTTTCGTCTCCAGTCGAGGAGAAATCGTCAGTGCGTGGTTGAATGAGTGCTTCCTCCGTGCCTAGCTGCGTTTATGTAGTTTTTTTTGTGGAGTATCTAATATCCTGTCACGTGATTGGCTAGTCGGTATATGCCTTCTGTTGCATCATGGTGGGACCGATCGTGATTTTGTTTTGCTGCGTTGTGGTCAGTATGCCTCTTATTCCATTGGCTTGTTGGATGGCTGTTTTGGGGTGTTCCGGGTCTGTTTGCAATAGGTCCGTTCCCGGTTTTTGTTTCGTTGTGGTCTTCCTTCCTTGATTCTGCTTGGTTGTGACGGTGTCTTCTATTTTTGGTAGTTTCCTTGCTTCAGCCTGATCGTTTGTTTCTTTTCTCTTTGTCCGCCTCTGCATTCTGTAGTTCCGTAATTCTTTTGTTTGCAGTGGCCGATAGACCGGATCAATTTCGGTGTGTTTGTTGATAGCTTTTTCAGTAGAGTGCCATGCTTCTATGAATTCACCTTCTTTCTTTCTTCTCGCTTGAGCCAATATGTGAACGGTGCTCTGTTTTTTCTTTCCATTGAGCGTATGTTAGATTCCATGGCATGCTTTGATTGTACACGTTTACGCAAATCAAACCCCACAATTGCCAGTTGGGTTAAATGGTTAAATGAGCGACACCTATCGACAATTCCATGGTTTATCCGTATCTCATATTTTCGACCTCGAGGTAGTTTAACGCTCAAGGCATGAACTAACTCATAGGAAGGTCATTGGTTCGACTACTCGTGTCTAGGCTTGGCAACCTAGTATAACCTCGGCCCTTATGCTTCCCTCAGGTTGCATGGCAGCTCTGCAATCAAAGGGTGCCACAGTTGAACGATTATTTTAATCTTATAGCTCTTAAAAACCACTTGTGTCTACCCATTCCTCATTCTCCGTTCATTCCATTCCCACATAGTTGCCCTTCAGCCTAGTACTATAAACAATGCTATTTGCCCACCGTCCATATCGAACAGAGTACTTACGAACCTGGAAAGCGACACTGGTTGAAAATCAAACGAGACTATTTGGCCGAGGGATCGATGGCCGATTCGGTCGATTTGATCGTATTGGGAGCGTACTATGGGACCGGTAACAAAGGTAAGTGTTCTCACCTAACGATCTCGGTCCAGCTGTGTCGAGATATATTTCGCACATTTTTGGCACATTTTGTGTGTCTGTCATGTGTTATATTTTTGTACTCAGATTCTGAACCTCACTCTCCATAGTTTGCAAGCTCGAATGGTTAACTCCATTGTGTAATGTACTGCCCGTTTTACTTTTGAGAGATTCCTGGCCTTCCCAAATTTTGCGGCCTTTTTACCATGCCACATTTTGGCCCATCCTTTTATCGAAAAATCCCAAAACAAGTACTCAGCAAACTCCGTGTTCACTGCGATACATGACTTGTACGGAATGCTCAGTCCCACTGGACGAGTTGAAGTAAAAATATTGAAATTGCAGAAGGAAACCAGAAAACATGACGAGTTTTCAGCTGAATATTCCCAAAAAGTAAGAACTCTCACAAATCCTGATTGTTCTCGGCACGAAAGCGAAGTAACATCCTCTAGGAAGGCTCATTTACTAGAATTCGAAGTGCACGACACATAATTGAGGACATTACAAGGCCCTGAACCAAGATTCATTTAATCTCGCTGTTGGATCTCGAATGAATAATTTACTTTTTACGGCGTGTGGTTAAATCAATCTTTCTACGGATTCATGAAAATTACGATCAGTTGAACCAACCATAAGGCGTACTCCGGGGAGTCATAAAATGGCTGTCTGAGAACTGTGGTTCGTTCCAAACTCAAACGGTCATCAAAGTGAGTGCTCAGAACCTAATCGAGCGGAAAAAACCAACTATATTGCGCTGCTGCATCGCATCACCGATACATGAGTGTATAACAATGTACGGAGAGACCACCCATCAGTGTGACAGTAAAAAACAACTCGGGGTTCGTCTGGAAATCTTCAATACTCATTCGGTTCGTAGATTTTTAGGATGGCACGCAAGCGCAATATGTCAATCATAGTCTTTTTTTATAAATACAGCCATGGCTAACATTCTAAACCTCGGTGCCCTAAGCACTTGGTAAACTATCGATCTCCTAAATTCTAAAATATGTATGAATAGACTCATATAACAGTAGTGGACGGGCCGTTAAATAGCTAGTTACACAGGTTGAATCTCTGATGGAACCTAATTGCTGGAAGCCGTAAGACTAACAGTTATTTCTAGTAGTTTTTTTTCTGTCGCCTAAAACCTTATCCGTATTCAAACGGGTTTCATTTAGCTCGCTTGCTGTGCCATGTATCATGTACCGACGAGTTCAAAGCAGTCGGATTCCAAAGATGGTGTTCAAACCTATTAGGTAAAGGCATTTGTAAGAATAGCTTCAGCCACTATCTCCGCAACAAGTAATAGCCGTTGTTTCAATAAGTTTTTTTCGGTGCCGAGTTGCACTGTCACTCGGAGGAAGAACGAAGGCTGAGGTACCGTCAAGTTGCCTAAGCCTAGACAAAAGCAGTCGAGATATTGGCGTTGATTTCGAACCACGAACCTTCCGGTCAGTATATTCGTTTCTCAATCACTGAATTATATCGAGCTGTTGTTTCAGGATACGGCTCGATCATTGATCCTGATACAGCGCTTAATTTAGTGCGCATAGTGAACCGTTAGTGCAATGAAAGCCATGTCGCCATAAACGAAATTACGCTGAAAACTCTTCGTCAATCCACGATCGGTTTCCCCCTTTTTGGAGCTCGTAAGGTGCGGTCCCCGAGAGAGACATTCATTTGAGTCTCCCGTTAAGACCAGTCAATCCACATCGGTTTCCCCCTTTTTGGAGCTCGTAAGGTGCGGTCCCCGAGAGAGACATTCATTTGAGTCTCCCGTTAAGACCAAATTGATATGGGTGACTATGTCCTTTATCCCTCTATGTAGTCTTTTCGAATGCCTATGAAAATAATGTCAGGCTTACCGAACACCAGGTGATTGCATCGCTCTGTTTTCATTCACTCACCGGACATATTGACTTAATTAGGTTTGTCCCAGGGACCTTAGGTTTCTTCTAAAGACCTACTAGTAACTCTTTCAACCTAAAATATCATTGGTTCACAGCAAATAGTTTTTCCCCACCATCTGTTTTCAAATCCAGTACAAAAGCATTATATCGAATATGGGTCAATCAGTGAACGAGAATGAACAGTAAAACTTCCGAGCTGATTTATTCTTAGCATACTCCATCTTATTACATGGCACAATAGTGCATTGTCGGCGTGACCTTGTAAATACCCCTTGGTTAAACTTAGCCTCGAAGAGAGGATAATTTTTGCAGGTCTGGATAACGTACTCTTTTCAGATGGATGATCGGATCTACGGACCCCGGTGTCTATAACTTTGCTTATCATAATGGTTGGCAAATGCTGACCCTATCATTGGTCACTTCTTACGAATGCATTTTATTGGTAATTTTTTTGCTGTTGAATCGTCATGCTAAGGTGATCTTTGACCGTTTTATGCAAGCTGTCTTATTACAGGCTCCTGTAGGGTTCCTGCGTTTGTAATCACGTTAGAGCACCCTACCTCAACATATAATCACAGACACGAACGCGAAAAAACTACATTTTTTTGCTGGAAAATGAAAGAGATCACTGCTGCTGAAGGATGACGTTTGATATGTTGATCGAAAGTTTCATTTTTGCGAGGCCCCTCTCGTGGACAAAAGCACCTTACCTCCAAAAGTAGCCTATTCCTTTCAAGGCTCTCCCTGCCCGCATGAAACTCCAACCCCCTAGCAATTCAACATATGCCTTTCGGTCCTGTTACCAACGCCCTTTGTTCACAATGCAGGTTTACTATCCGAGCAAGACAGTAGATGTCCATTACCATTCACACAATTACATTCCCCCTCAAATGCTTTCCCTTGACAATTCTTTATCTAGTGAAGCAACACATGTGTATTCTGGCTGTGTAAGAGCCTTTGAACCTGCTGTAATTCCTCGCAAAACAAATGTCTTCTAGCTGTTCTGTATCTCACCACTACACGGATTCATAAGGTTTTCAGATGGTGCCGCACTTTCATTCGTTGTAAAATCCATTCGGCTTTGTTTAGCATTTGAAACGGATGGAAACACGCTCTTATACACTAGACATGAGCTTAGAGAACACGACATTAAACAGAACTGTTCTAGTGCATCTACTTTTCAGGTTATTAGGAGGTTATTAGGTTCCATTAGGAGTTCAACTTTGTCTTCCTGTGTGACTGTTTTTCATGCATAAAGCTGCCTACGGTCAATGCTTGTCGCCCATCTGCGTTTCTCATATTACGTCTTGTAAGTGTTGTGGGCCTCTAGCCAACCAATACACCCACCATGATCCCCAGTGATGTATGATCACTCGTTTGTGTTGATGGTTAATGAGTTATCGTTTTTCTGTTTCTTCTCGTCCTGTGTACCCTAAGACACGGTGTCTGGTTGGTCGTAGGTTCTTGCAGTTCCTCTGTTCAGTAGGCGGAAAATCCAATGGGACAGGGCGTTTGGAGAGACTAAACTGGTTACGTTGCTAGCTTCTGGTCGTGCATATGTGATTGTTGGTGAACAGTGCAGTGTGCATGGCGATTTATTAGCCAACTTCTTACCTGTCACCAAATCTCTAGCTGGACTCATGTCGGTTTTCTTGATGGGCGCGTACGACCCTGCATCCAAGCAGTTCACCACAGTAACAAAATGCGGCAATGGATTCACCGACGAAATGTTACAGACGCTTCAAAAGAAACTTAAGATGAAGAGGATTACACAGGTACGTCCAGCTTTTCGTGATTTTCATTTGTACGACCTCCGATTAAACATATGGTGGGTTTCTAGTGACTCGAAAAAATTATAGCTTCCTCATATAGACCCAGATTTGAAAGCAAACTTTTTACTGGGGGAAGTTTAGTGGAGTGAAATGTTTAAATTAGGAATACTGGGGACAAAACCCATGCTTGGTGCACGAAGCACCGTATGGATTATACCGGATCGACTGTAGAAACTGTTTCGTCAACAAGCCCTGCGGTATTTAGTCATTCTAACGAAAATGCATCTCATTGACAGATTTTTGATAAATTTTTATCGTCACCTTTGGTTGTTGTCATTATTTTATTTGTAACACTGAATTTACGATCAGATACACCAGTTTTGGGCCAATGGAGTGGGGAGTACAGGGAGCCGGCCAGAGGACGCAGGGACTGAGATATTACTGTCTTAATCCTAATGTGATTGCGCATAACAGGTACCCTTTGAACAGCACCAGACTCTTTGGTTTGAAAAGTAGGCCCGACCATATTGAACCACGCCCCGGCGTTCATGGTCGATCGTTGGGCAATCGGTTTTTAGGATTGACCTTTTCTAATCTGTTTCTTTCTTGGGGGGAAGGCAGCGTCGTTGCTTCTATAAATACGGACATGCTGGTTGCAAGGGCAAGCGTCTTAGCGCCTTCACACTCATATCGCATAAGACAGTAAGACTTTACTCCAGAATGCCTCGTAATATAATTCCTCGCAGTACAGGGACTCGCTTTTCTTCATCAAGCTGCTCCTCGTTTGCCTTCCTGTGATGGTTGAATCTTTAGGAACCGAGTTCCAGCCAGAATAGCCTGTAGGATCCATGCAACACAAGCCCGACTACCACGACCAGGTGATAGTTTTAGGCTGGGATCAAAACTGGATACTTGGACGTATTTCCAGAAAACCCCTGAACGAAGGTACCTCGCTCCTGGAAGTATATTTCTCTCCGTGGCTTACGCCTCTCTGGGTTTCCGAAGTTACATGAACGTTCGAAGCATTATTTTGTGCCTGTCTCTTTCGCAACCCCTTGATTTCAGGTGACAAGAATAGAAGTTTTCGATAGGTTCTACACAGGCTTTGACAACTTGATATTATATTGCTCCGTTTTGTGCGTAACTATGAGCTACTTCCCCTACTTTCTTCCATAAATGTATGATGTTAATGATTATTTTTGTACCGTTCCGGTTTCCAGTCCGATGTTCCATCCTGGCTGAACGTTTCCAAGTCATTGATTCCGGATTTCGTTGTTGAAGACCCGAAGGTATCTTTTACACTTCTCATGGAGTGTTTATGCATTAAAACACGACGTACTAGTCTCAGTTTATGATGCCTATATTTTGCTGAAGTATTCTGTTCTTTCGATCTGTTCGACGCCGGAGTGTTCATTACGTTGGCGAATCCATTGTTCTCAGTTATCTCATGTGTGGCATTACTCCTGACTTACCGAGAGCATGTAGCCATGATTGAACTATCCTGGATAGTACTTCATTTACAACTCCTTACAAAGGACATTATGACGATACCTGTATCCACTCTTTTGAACACATTCACAGCCGTTTGTTCAAGTAGAACAAGGCTTACTGCTTGATGAGCCTCCAGAAATTGTGAAACTAGTCGTGGGTTGCTAACTGGTTTTCGACATACCTGTGTTGAGGTTCCCGATACGGAACTTTGAGTGATGCATAGGTTCGACAATCCCGAATATCAAAAGGAAGAATGGGGTTCGTAATTCTACGGCACTATTTACACAAGAGTAAGCAAATGTGCACAACGAACCTCAATTGTTCCCGTTCGTAGCGTCAACAAGTTCACAGGTGTGTCACTGACCGCCGCAGTTCAGTGTCAACGTCCGCAAACCAAACAGCGGCGAGCGGAATGATAGCTCATTAGCGTGGGTTGCGGTCGTTCCTTCCGACGACGGTTTCGTGATTCTCGTTGGACGTGCGATAACACGGAACTCATGAGAAAACAAGTGAAGGGACATGAACGCACATGGGTAAGTAGGTCAGCAGCGCACATTCACACACAGACACACATGTCGGTACACCAGTGTCGGAAAGGACAGTCGCTACGGCAAGGTGAGTGGCGGGTACGAATAAGCAAAACAACTGGAAATCAAAAGTACATAGGCGGTGTAAGCAGATGGATTTGGGAATTATCATAAGGTCAAGTTCGATTCAATACCCTGTGAGTAGTGGGTTTTGTCAGGAAAATATCCACCCACATTTATTCGTATTTTTCTAGTCAGAAAATAATGGTGAAATCACGTTTGCAAACACATCGCTATGCAATCGGACGACACCACTGAGCGTTCATCGTACCGTTGGCCAACATGGACTGCACAATATTCACAATCCTCTTGTTTCACTGGGACAACTTTCAAATGAGTGGTGGTTCGCGTGTTTTGCACATGTGCCTATTGGATTAGGTCCTTTGATTCTTTTAAAAGGAAGAAATTTTCACCTCAACCTTATTGTCCAGAGTTGGTATCAATTGTTAGCCGCGTTCACAGCGAGATGAATTACATGCAGCAACGCGTTCATTAGACTGGAATTTAAAGTCAACCATTCGATAACTGCGATTGGTGTGTGTTGCTTTCTGCATTGGGGCAAACCAACTTGTGGTGTGGATGGCATAATTCAACCAACTCCTGTGGTTCACATGTGTATCACTTCAGCTGCTGCTTTTGAAACCCACACGGGGAGATTACACCGGAACTTGTATGGATGTGCCTCGGAACACGTTGTGTCAGCAGACTAAGCATTTTCAACCCACTGGTTATTTGACTGACCTGGAAATATAGCTTAGCGTCTTACTTCGCAACCAGAATCCGAAACTGGTGGCGTTTGATGAGTCGGTGATGATAACGGTAGTGATCGTTCAGCTGTGACGCGCTTTCGGTACCGAGTTGCCATTCCCCTCGAGGGCTGAGATACTGCCAGGTTACCCAAGCCTAGACAGGAGCAGCCGAGATGCTGGGGTTGGTTTTGAACCACGAAACTTCCGGTATATAAGTTCGCGCCTTAACCACTGGGGTCGTCAGTGTTGAGTGGCCTCTATCAGCAAAGCGTATGCTGCAGGTAAATAGCTCGGCTGTTTGGTTTTCATTTTGATTGAGGGTGTTCGTCGTCTCCGTCCGTCAAGATAGAGGAAGGATGTTGAAGTCTGACGGCCTGTAAATTGTCGCGTTATGCAAAAGCATTTTTAAGTCTTACCATAATCAGTGGTGCGGTGTTCAAGTGAAGTTAGCTCTGGCGCACTGCAGAATCCACTTGTCGAGCGCATATTCGCCGAAGCACGGGCCTCCCTGTTTGCCGTAAGGTCTTATTTTGAAGGGACTGTCGTGGCTGTTGTTCTAACTCGATACGTATTTCGACCAACGATATTTGGTACTCTCACAATCTCTCCGTTTTTTCTTCTTGTTCGATTTTTTTGGAATATTATTTTATAGTCTGCTCCAGTTTGGGAGATAACCGGTGCTGAATTTTCTCGAGCCAGTACCCACACCGCTGGTCTATCGAGCGGTGAAACTCAGGGAATTTCAATTCGGTTTCCACGGTTTACAAAAGCACGCCCTGACAAAACTTGGCAACAGGCGACCAATGTGAGTGAACTCCAGCGATTGGTAGCCGAATCCGGAAAGCGCTCCGATTGGCTGGATATTTTGAACGATGCCGCTGATGTGTCCGTGATAAAAAAGAACACGGGAAAGCGTGTAGCCATGTCTGGTTCTGGATCAAATTTGGATCCGAAACCACGGAAGCTACCTCGGGAGGAGGTAATTTATATAATTCTCGTTTCAGTATTTTATGTCACTCTTATCTGAGGATGAAAAATTGTTTTGGAGTGTAGCTACTTTTGAACCACAGCTAGTGCAGAGGTCAAGGTTAAGGTTAAGCACCGACTTTTTGTTTGGTCTTTGTTGAACCAGAGTGAACTGGTCTTATTGGTTACCTGACAGGCAGGAACCCGAGGGACAATACATTTAAATGATGTTTTATGATCTTTTCTACCACTTCTGCGAAAGCGAACATCCAAAGGCTAACTGATGTCTGTCAATAAACACGGCATGTTACTAGAGCATCTACGACAAGCGCGTCCCCGGAATTAGCACAAGACTGCAGTCTCTTCAATTTTTCTCTGAACTTAGCGTGGACAATCCCATGATTGAAGGTTTCTTCTATGAAACTGAAACAGCGACTAAGTTTATTGCAAAGTAGATCAGCATGTTTTCTCTGACTAAGTGAGTAACTGTTGACAGTCGGTTGCAACCCGACGGATATAATAAGGTGTTGCGTTTTAAAACTGATTAATTCGCGAAGGATGAGACCATCTTTACCTAATTAATGCTTTGGGGCCAGTCGATGCTTCATCCGGAATGGGATTTCACTGGAGACTTCCCTACAAGCTACAAATTGCCACGAAACCCATCTTGCTCCGAATAATGGTTTCTTCCGCGATGCTCATTGATTTGTTGTTCAGTCGATTCACTCGGTTTGGAAATTCCATTCGCCACCACACGTGACAACCAGACGATGATTTGCCTGTTTTTTTTACGAACGGTGAAAGGTACTTTTTATCAGCCAGTACACGCTCTTATTTTGTTGTTCGTATCCAGCCCATGGACAGACCTCACAGAGAGCATCGAATCTGGAATTCTTGAATTTACTGCAGTGCGTATGTCCATAGTAAATTTCAATGCTTTGTCGTCCTCCCTAAGTGTAGTGGGAATATCAGGTGAGCAATGCTTCGTTACACCGAGTAGTTTTCAGAAGCAATTCAACAGATAGATACGATGTACTCTCTTGTTCACATGCCAGAAGACTAGCTCTCTCAATAAGCCCTCTTCGCGCAGAAGTAGTGAGCAAAAAAGTCACTATTTAACATCCAGCAAACTCAGCTACGTCCGCAGTTATCTTCCTTGATGGAGGTCCGGAGACAGAACACCCTAAGGGTTAGTTCATTGCTGGGCTTCTGCTGATCTCATCAATAAAAATACATGCCGCTCAGCAACACCACCTATTGTCTTTTTGTACGATCATTCATTCGCTTTTCGCAGAATACCAGGGAAGAACTGTGGAAAACGGAATCACTATAATTGTTCTTGGTGATGATAATGATGACGGCAATGAGGACGATCGTCGCCATCATCATCAGCATGATGTTAGGTGTTATCGCTGTGTAGGAAGCCTCTTGTTTTAGCATCATCTTGGGGGCAGGGAAATAGTTTTCATGCAGTCTGAATCCTTCGTGTTCAGAAAAATCCCCAGTAATTACGCAAGAAATACTTGTTCCTAATGAAGCGATATGCACGTGAAAGCAGAAAAACAGCCGTGTGAGTAGTCAAAAGTTTCGTCTAATTTTAGTTTACCCATTTTGTCGTAGCATTGGGAACGTAGCATGACACATTTAGAACAGGACAGATTACGACTGTCGATTGGAAGTTTACGGTTGAATGCAGATTACACAGTTCGTTTAGTTTTTTTTTTGAAATAATCACCACAGATTGACGTCAATTCAGCCTGTGAAACTTGTTATCTGAATCGCGACAAAGAGAGTTAGAAGACGAAACATTCCCGAAGAAAAAGGGGGAGTAAGAGTTCAGTTTCAAGCTTGTGATAGGGGTAGCTGGATAAGCAAAGAGACGAGTTGCCAGATCGAAAAATACAAGCAAAGGAACAGAGGAACTATACTGGAATGCCACCTTTCGTGGTTGTAACTGTGAAGTAAGGTGGAAACACCTCGTCTTCTCAGATCAACCATCAGTTAACACCATGTTCAGCCGCAACAAGTTGCGTGTATGTTGTGCAGTGGTTATAGCTGCCACAGTCTCGTTCGCCGATGATCTGGTAGGGTGGGTTGGCAATAGCTGACGTAATCGATGCATAAATCCAGGGATGGTAATAGACTTCGCAATGGAGAGTTCCGGAGGGGAAGCTATACGGTTACTGATAGTTATCGCTGGAGCATGCGGTTTTGTGCTAGATTGAGTCTAGGAAAACTTAATCAGACGGAAGCGCCCCGCCCAAAAATGACGACAGTGCTCGGAGATATAACAAACCAGCGATGAGTGAAATGCTTACCTGGTTGAAATAGGGGACATAACTCCTAAAATATCCCTAAAAGCTTTGTTTATATCGGGGGCGGATGGAAGAAGTGGGACGGACTGGATGAACTTGGGTGAATTAAAATTCCCGCGTTGGACAAATTTCTTTGGCGAAGGGTGGAGTGGGTGAAGTAAACTTGGTTCGTGACTGCGGGCAACATCGGGCAGAATTTGTTCATCATCGGACGCGTGGATTATGGGCATCCTAGGTAGCTGGGATCTGTCCAAATGGCGTACGAACTGGGACTTAGCGGTCGACACAGTGTTCTTGTTTTATTCCATTGCCTTGGTAGTTGGATTCCTCTGATCAAAGCTTACAGGTGGGACTTCTTAGTCAGCCTTTTTCCTCCACCAGGAAGTATATTACTTACGAAAATACATGGAACCACTCTGCATATAACAACTCCGTTTTATGAGTGTTCACAGCAGAATTTCTCTTTCAACCCTTTTCTCCCTTCGACATCCTATGTAAGTCCAGAGCTTATCATCTACTTGAGTCTCCTGATCAAACTTCCACCCTTAAGGTTTTTTTGTAATCTAGAACAACAGACGAACGGGCTTAAGTGGAACACTGGGTCAACGGAAGCTCAGAAACTGTGTCCATCTAGTGGGCCGTAAGAAAACACAAACCGGTCGTGTCGGAGATTTTCTTTTAACAACCTTAGGAGAAATGTTTTACGTCTACACGGAATCTTCGGTGACCACCCAAACTAGCTGCCGTAACTATGAGGCCATTTACATGACCATACGAATCGGACTCACTCAGAGCATTGAAGTTCTGATCGTTGACATTTGTTGTGTTTTGTGGAGCAGCAGAATTGAAAGTTTGATCGTAGTGCTCACTCTGCGCTCTCCGTTGGTTACAGTTAAGTGTAACTCCATCTTTCACCTGTGTAGGACCTCTTTGGATGTGTTTGTGATGGATGTCGAAGCGACACCAGCTGAGACGTACTCAAGAGAGCTGTTTCAGTCCATCAGGACAGCCTCAAGAAAAACTCCGAACATAATTCAGACACTCCTCACTTTATTCACCCAATCACGTACCGGTACTGTCCTTCGAGTATTCCAAGTCCCCAATTATTTTCTGGTAGTCGTAATTGTCATCATCGACAGCTTAACATCAGCGCTCAACACTGATGTCTCGTTTTCGTACAATCATGATTTATTTGAAAGTCTCATTGCGAAGAAAACAAAGAGAGTGGACGGTGAAGGGACTCAGTGCTAGGGTGCCTGCACCTCCAGAACTCATTCAGGTAATCTGGATAGAAAATGAGAACAAGAGCGCCCATAAAATCGATTGGTGTCCATATCTTACAACTTCTTCAACCAAACACAGTGGGGATCACGTGGTCCCCATCTTGGAAGGCTAATCGCACTCACACCACTCAGGCTTCTCGAGATCTCTTTCACGCCCCTTTGCCAGGTCAGAGGTTGGCCACCTCTTTGCTTCTTCCACACTAAATTTGGCACGGAAAACAGCACTCTCTTTGGCAGACGATGGTTCGACATGCACAATACATGGCCCAACCAACGCAGCTTCTGGTGCTGGACACATTCTTCAATAGAAGTTGCCGTTGCACAACCCAAAGCTCGCTTTCTAATTTCCTCTTTCTGTATTAGTTTGCAGTAACCTTGAGACTCAGAGCTATACAGCTTTGGCGCCATAGGTGCCTCAGATTAACAAACGTGACCTGAGCCTTGCAGATTCGCGCATTGACCTCATCTATTATCATAATCGGAACCAATACAAATAGCAAGATACGTAAGACGCTACAAAACTTCGAGTGCCTCTCGCTGGATTGTAAGTGGCTTATTCAGTTACTTCTGGTCCAGGAACTTGATATTAGACTTGGTGGGTGCATACCAAAGGACGGGATGGTGTTGGTCAATTAATCCGAAAATACATGTGCCTTCCTCTAGACTTCGGTAACCACCAGGCTTCATGCTTGGCGCGCATGCTCCCTTTCACTTGACACGTGATAAGATGTCGGATCAAATTATGTTCGGAACCGATAGGGACATTTCTCCAACATTCAATCAGTGCACTGTTCTGTGCTTGAGTAAACCTCGTAGCGCTGCGCCACAAGCAAAACTCCCTGCGGTGTGCATAGGTGTGGCGATCTCGTTCCAGCACGATTTCACATCTGGCGGTGGAGCAGTTGAAGCGGATTCCAGAAGACGAGTGTCTCACGAACGCCCACTTGTATAGCTCGATGGGTCGTGAACCTTACTGTCATATCACGGTAAGGTCCAGCCTCTTCGTGACGGCCTGGTGGTAGCTGGACATCAGTGTGAATGGGACTGTCAGATATTTTCCTGAGAACTTGTTTGCTAACAAAAGTGAACACCAACCATTCACGGATGTCTCACAGTGAGACTGAAATCACATGAAGATGGAGAACTAATTATCCTATATTAGTAGCATGCATTTTCACGTTTTTGTGGTGAGAAAGGTCCATATTGTGAGTCGGAAGCTCGGATTGGTAGGTGACATGATTTTGGCGACGTTGTCTTTCCGAGTGTCCATGCGAGCCGTTGATTACTTAAGGTGCAATGATACCCGAAAAACCTGTGGGGCGTTAATTCGTCCCTGGATCACGCTTTTTCCTTGCACTTAGGCCCTTTTTTCAACTACTGCATTTCCAGGGTACTGACACCACAAAATATTCCAAGATCAAACCTTGTCATCTCCGTCCTCTGTTCAATGGATTGGTTTTTCAAGTCGCCGATAACACCGATTTCGACCAAACTGAACTGAACGCGACCCTTCGACAACTGGTGGCCGGCGGCGCAGAGCTCAAAGGAGCGGTCGGGTCTTCGTTTGCTTCATTGCTCAGCAACGAAGAAGCCACTCACCTTTTAGTTCCTCCCCGTGGTAACCACGTGAGCACCTGTTCATCTCCTTCTGTCTGACGTTTTCGTGTTATTTCTCATTCAGTATCTGTTTACGTATACCAAATTGCTTGTCGCACCCAAGTGTCGTTGATAAACATACTTGGAACAAGCTAATAATCTCTCGAGGAACTCACTCGCATGTGAGGTCACCACACCGGAGAGTCTTCAGTGGTCAGATTGGCGTAAAATCCTTGTGCTCTGTCAACTCTTCTGAAGTGTTAGTGCCAACTTCACGCCAACAAGTTGCTCTTCCAATGGATCTACTTTTATGTTACATACTACTAGTGAAAGGAACAAAAGACCTTCGCTGCGAAGTCATTTATTAGCAAACACGAACTAAGCAGTTATAAGTTATTAGGCAGGAAAGTAAACATCTCACATTCACATAGTCTTTAAAAACTGGACAATCATTAGCAAACCGAACTAAGCAGTTATAAGTTATTAGGCAGGAAAGTAAACATCTCACATTCACATAGTCTTTAAAAACTGGACAATCCTACCCGTCCTCTTGAACTTTCCTGAATATTCACAACGGAAATCGAACACTGCAAACAGGTTGAGATTTTCATATTTCGGTAACGTGACCTCCTGGTGATTCGTTCAGGTTGCTAACTACAACGAGTGTTGGTAGGCGGTGAGTAAAAGGAACGCGACCAATACTCGGAGACTTGTGTGCGGTAGTTACACTTAGTGGTTCACCGAAAATTGCGGCACAAAAGCGCTTCAGCGTACCTCATCTTTGCTTACATAATGTTGCAACCGTGCACGCACCAGGGTCCGTAGGTATAGATGGTCGGACGCCATCAAGCCCTGTATCTCTCGGGCAAGAGGATACCGAGTTTCAACGCGGTACATCAGAACTGCGCGTACAATGACGTTATATACTTGGTCTTTTTGTTTGGTATCAATATCCTTGTGTTGCCCAAAGCGATATCGGTTTGCGGAGACATCACGCCTTGGAACAAGGATGCTTCTCGACTTTTAAGCATTGATTGACCTCTTTTGATGCGTAGAATTTAAAAAAATATTGACCTGGCATTCCAAATTTCCTAGTCTATTTCGCGGTTTAAGCTGCAGATCTCCGTAGGATGATAAGAGAACTGGTCAAGCAGAATAGTAACGGGCAGTTCTGTCTCCCTTCACTCAAGATGTTAGTAGTTCACCTTTGACTTGTGGTTTGCCTATGTAACGCTCAAATACTGTTCATACGCTTCTCAAGCGGACAGTTCCACATAATGACCCTATTAGGTGAACCAAATAACTCCTTTGATATCAGGGAAATGTCTGTTCTGCAGTGAAAGTGTGATGTATTCAGGTTTTTCTGTGACGGGAGCTTGCCTGCTTCCTCAGACGGCGAGGAGCGATGAAGGCTTGGATGTAGTTGATATCAGTCTGTTACTGCAGAAGCTCCTGAGTTCAGGAGTCTCTTTTTTAAGATAATTTTTGTTAGGTTCCTGCATCAACAGTTTGTAGGTGTGCTTGCCTCAACAACGAAGAGTGATTTGTGCTCTTGAGACTGGGCGAATTCTGCGAGCACACAACATAGCGTTTACCGTTCACTGGGATCCAAACAATACATATTCAATCAACATTCTTAACTCAGTCTCTACACCACTGTTTCTTACTGCAGCAACATACGTAGCTCCGGATAACCAGAGTTTGTCCTTCCTGTTGAGACGGTCGTCTGGATGATCATGGTGCTAGCTTTTGTAGTCTGGTTTCAGAGTGACAACAAACTTTGGTGATAGGCGAAGCAAGCGTTTTAGCGCCTACTGCTCAATGACCTATTTGCATCAGTCCGTATGTTGACTGTTGGATGGGATGGATTACATGGGTGGCGCCGGCATGTTGATGGTTTGTGTTATGTCGAATCGAATAGATTCTCATCTGCTGTATAACACTCGATGCACTAGAAACAGCTGTTGTTGTATGAAGCAGGAGACCCTAGGTTGGGTGACAGAACCTCAGGATTGATGAAGTAAAATTCTTTTCAATTAAAGCCCTCGACCAAGCAGTGGCTTGACTACTGAAACATTGTCTAACATAGTTTCGGTTCTTTCCTCTAATCCCTGGAGGCCCATTCTGAAGAGGAAGCTTGTCTTAGGGGGACCCTTCAAAGCTTTCGGCCAGCCGACGCCTGGCTTCGAAGGCATAGGGCTGACCCACGGAGGTCAAGGTTCACAGGAAATCGGTTGGAGTTCCCAGTTCGTTCGCCTTTCGGATGGAAGGCAACCTTCCGATGCGTTCAGTAAACCCGGTGAGCTACATTGTGTTCCGCCTTAATCTCAATCTGATGACAAGTTTGATCCAAAGGTGCTTTACACACCCATTGCTCATTTGGAACTGTGTCTTCACCATTTCCCGTGTCAACCCTGTCGTAGCACCAAGTACCCGAGTACGATGTTCGTTTTAGTTAAGGGCACGAAAGACAATGAAAAGGACTTCCTCACGGAAGTTTTTCTGAATTGCAAGACTGCTGGAGAGAAGATGATGATGTTCAGGCTAGGCCAGTACTCATCCCTGATCATACTGCGGCAGTTAATGGCTGAGTGTCTGCGGTGCGTGTGTTTAAGATGTTTTACTTTCGTATGACCAAGAGGTCACATATGTGAACCGATTGCGCCTTCTAACTTTGTCACACTTAACGAGACGCGCACTCTTCGCCCAAGGACGACAATGCATATAGTCATGTGGACTAGAGTTGTTTCAACAGTCAACTGAATGTGTGACTCTTGTTACTGTAAAGTGGTGAGGAACACGTGAATGAGAGAAAATGCTTTGGGAACTGTTTTCCATATGGTTGGCATATCCCTGGTTAATTTAATTTTCGGTTTTTCCAGTACTATGAACGATTCTGTCTGTTATCGACTAAAGCTGCTTAAACTTCGGAGTAGAATCGCTCTGACAACTTATCAGCTATTTAGACATCGCACACTCTCCGAATTGTACAGTGGTCGTGAAAAGAAAGGGTCCACGCCTGAATGACATGATTCGTGATTCAATTTTAACTGAAATAAAGTCTGAATGAAGTGGCGCAGGTGGCTAAATACCTCGAATGGCTACTAACACAAGGACGGTGTAATTACGCGTCTTGTGAATCAGTTTCAACAACCAAGCGAACCTTTTAAAAGGGCGATTTATGTACTTCTTTCCAGTGTGTCTATACGAATGCTCTAACTGACTCACTGTTCCGTTTCCAGACTCCATCCAGCTTGATTCAAGTTACGCCCGACGAAGTTAAAAAGAGCCTGTCAGCTGGCCGTCTATTATTTTGAACACATGGCTGTGTTATATCCCCAAATGCTGCGTCATCTCCGAATTTCTTTACCTCTTTTAGTCGCCACAACTTGTGATTGCTCTGTTTGGTACAATTCCACCTTCCTTTCTGATATTCAAGCGTATTTTTTGCCTTGAAATGCAACCTTATTCTTTCACGAGTGTATAAAACGAATGTTGTTCAAACGACCTGGTGTTTTCCTCAGCTCTGGGTTCCGAAGAAAGCACTTAATCATCACTATCGTCATCGACAGCATGACAACAGTGTTCAACAGCGATGCTTTGCCACCGTACAACCATGATTTAATTGAAATACGTATTGTGAAGAAAAGCATAAAGGTGGACGGGGGAGGGGCTTAGTGCTGGCCCACCACAATCATCCCTCCAGACACTCATTCAGGCAATCTGGATAGAAACTGACAACAAGATCGCCGCTGACATCGGCTAGAAGCCATATCTTGCAGTGTCTCCAACCGGGCGCAGTCACCATGCAATTCTGTTGTACATACGAGAGGGGGAGGTAGAAGAGCCATCTATATTTGTGGCAATCGATTCACACGTCAACCTGGCATGCATGGGAGTTTCGTGTGAACTTCTCAAACCTACTCTATAGCATGAAAAGTGCGTCAGGTTTAGGTTAATGCGTCAATCAAGTTGTTGTTCCTTGTGAGATGAATGGTGAGATTGTAGAGCCCCAACCAGAGCAAAGTCGGTTGTAAACTATCATTGGTCAATCGCAGTGCTATTAGCTACAGTACTAGATAGATGCACCTCATTGTCCAATACAGCGAAGACGGTGTCTATCTGGTAAGGACTTTTAGTCTAGGAGTGGCAGTACTGAATCCTTTATCCTAGCATGTTTCATTGGACGCAGTTTAAAGTACTTACGAGAATATTGTCGACAATGTTAAATCGTTTTCAGGATAAATGGAGGCGATAAGATGTTGTATCGTGGGTGGCCGTCTATCGGTTACGCCTGCACTGAGCCTGCCAGACTACGCGATAGAGAGAAGACAAAGAACTGGGGACACGGCTGTATTGTCAGGTCAAAACATACAGAGCGCCTGCGTAAATATATAGGATGATTAATGGCCAAATATGGTCGTTCACTTGTTCGTTCTGTACAGCCAATGGCGGTGCTCCGGTCGTGAACAATCTCAGGCCCACTGCGATGGCCGTATGTTACTAACCCGTGTTTGGTGAGACCCGCCAACTCATCTACTTTCCGGACGTGCCGTGCCGATGGTGACTTTGGGGATGCGTCACTCTGCACATGTGCTTTTTTCGTGTCTGGGCGCGTCCTGACATAAGACAAACTGCGTGACTGACTGTTGTGACGATATTATCTGTCCAGGCCCAAAAGGCAGATGCCCTTACGTGATTCAGTTCATGTTACCTTATTGATAGTTTCATACGGTTTCGGACTAAGTGATGTGTATGGCAGTGATCCGCTTCATCCTTTTATTTAGTTGCAGTTCAGGGACACTAAAATCATACTCACATCGGTGGTTCTAACCTCTGTCACACCAACCGCCTTGGTTTGCATACTCAACAATCATTCTCTGAGTAGCTGAAGGGTTTGTACTTGGCTCTTTACTTTTATTTGATAGAATGCGAAGTACACGGGGCTCATCCCAAAATTAGTTATTGTGAAAAGTGCCGAGTCATTTTCTCAAACGACGGGCCCAGCGACCGATGGTTTTCGTATATCGAAGCATCCATGCTGCGTATATCAGGGCGGAATTGATACAAACAGGTGCATCAGGACGTGTCTGTTTCTGAAACGTTAGACGAATTAAAGACTCTGGCACTTCGAAGCCATCACCGAACAATGGGAATGAAGTATTCAGACAGAGCTAACATTTAACAGCTAGTGTAGTATGTGCTCGCAACTATTCATGATCAGTATTACCGTGTGCATAAATATCTTCCGTGTGGCACTCTCAAGCCAGATTTCTGGTCATGCTATTGCTGGGATTTCTAATGCTATTTACAGCATACGAGTGGACTGGTTCGTATTGACCAGACACGATAACCACATTTTGGAATGCATAAGCTAACGTTAGATATCTTACTGGATACGTAGCAAATCAGCCACAAGGGAGGATCGGCCATGAAAGAGGGACGACTATAGATAATCGGTGCTGTTTCACACGGATCAGACTGCCTGTGCAGACACTTGGTGTCAATCTGCGAGGTAAAGCCTGCAAATCAAATGTGGCTGCTATTGATATCAATTTGAAAGAGGCAGATGTTAGAAGCAAAACCACGTAACATTGATTGCACCGCTTTCCAAGTTTGTGACCAAACCTACTCCATACCGTACAGATCTTGAGTCGGTTCGACCATTCACTTAGTACAGTACGTGTTCGTGATTGGGCGAATCGCTACAATAGATGGTCGCGTTTCCTTTATATGATTGATTGTTCAACTATCGGGTTTGGTTTTTAGTAACCAAATCCCACAAAGATTCAAGTGTTCGGTGGCGTGAAGTGCCTTCCGAACAGAAAGATCAGGGTGCATTCTGATATCAGTTTGATATTATCTAATATCAGTCTGATGAGTAAAGTGGTCACAAAATTATTCCCGTATGTGATTGAGTATGATTTTCTTCCCTATGGCATAAAACACGGCATTCCTTTCTCCGTAGAGACCGATTGCTTGATCATGAAGGGTCACGAATCAAAAATGACAAACTACGGGCCGGTTTCTCTGAAAGAGCAACCTTACCGTACATTATGCCCTTCAGAGCCCACCTTAATAATTCGACTAGAAGCCACCATTCTTGAAAAGAATACAAGTGCAAACCTGTTCATTTTTCAAGATCACTTCAAAGGAATCACCGATAATGATCCAGTCCATTCTGGAAAGGAGTTTGGTACTGGGACAGGGTGAGCCCCCTATGAATGTCCCGCCTAACAATGTTCTTTTCAGAAAAGATACGCTAAGTCCTGACATAAGAAAACGTCGTCGGATTTAGCGTCAACAGCTGCATTGAGTTCTCTGTGGGTCATACCAAGCTCACCAATTTTAATCTTCTAAGAGAGGCGTAATATATTAAGCCGGGCAGTTTATTGACTGTTCGATTCCCCCTATAGTCAGAAAATCTTTGGAGCAGGATTTCTACGGGAAATATAAGAATATAAATGTTTCCGAATGATAGTTATGACCATCAGTTATTAAGTCTGCTGCGTACACAGCTACCTACTGGGGAGATCATAGTATATATTTAATATAAGCAAACAAACTTAGGATGATATGCAAGTCTCGGCAGAAGAATTTTCCTTTCTTGGACAGAACTGCCTCAGCTGGGGCTAACTCCCACAGCAGACAATGCAGCGGTCACGATCCTCTAAGATGAAACTCGTTTTGGAAAGAACTCTAAAGTGGTCTGCTTAAAGAGTAGCAAATCAACTCCGTCTTACAAGAGATCAGTAGCATCCTGTGTAGTACTGTCCGTGACACAGTTCACCTTCCATATTAAGCAAAACCCTTTGGCAAGCAAAAAGGGACACTTTTACAAGTAGCGCTTATGGGATGGGACGAAATTCTTGGGATTGTGAGCCTTGTGTCATAGAGCATTGTGGTCTGTTTCAGGATGTTGCAAGCACACTTATAATAATTGCATGGAATATTGATGGTGCTGCGGGCCGGACTGCTCTTGGAGTGTGCACGCTGACCTTACAACCTGCAATTTGTGACTTGACGGAATATGATTTTCCCACAAAATTAAAGCATCATCTGGGTAGGTCAATAATTCGGTTGTGAGTTAAAAATTTACTCACTAATTCTGAGAGGTCTGGTGAAAATTTCATATCGATATCTACGCACGGCCAAATCAATGTACGGTAGTCACTGTAGCCTCTCCTACTTCAGGAAATAAAATAGTCATAAATGGCTAACCCTGTGTTGTTCTGGTTCTTATGGTAATATGGCGATTTACATTTGATTCGAGTTCTGTGAAAACCAGGATATCGCATGTCTAGTCATCCATTACCACAACATATATATATATATATATATATATATATATATATATATATATATATATATATATATATATATATATATATATATATATATATATATATATATATATATATATATATATATATATATATATATATATATATATATATATATATATATATATATATATATATATATATATATATATATATATATATATATATATATATATATATATATATATATATATATATATATATATATATTGACGGCTGAGTAGTTATGGAGCGAACTTAGTGACCGTTTGACTCATGGTTCAAACCCAGCAACAGCATCCAGACTACTCCTGTCTAGGCTTACGCACCTTGCTAGCAACTCAGCCCTTCTGCTTCCTTCGGGTGGCGTGACATCTAGGTAACGAAAGGGTTTTACAGTTGAACGGGTACGTACCGCACGAAAGAGCCATTTCTATCGATGCTGCCTAAACAGATGAATCAATGCATCTTTCAGAAAACAGAACACTTAAAGCCACCGGTAAACTTGCTCCAATTGGTAGGTCAATAAACGTTAGAGTATGAGCTTTGTTGTGTATATGATAAGCAGCACTAATGGTAGGACCCTATTTACCGAGTCAACTCCAGGACGGTGGTGGTTTTCTGGTTGATAAGCTATGCTGAAATTCCAGACGGTTAATCAGTTTCGGTTGCAACAAAGCAATGAATAATTCACTCACGTATTCTACAGTAATGTTGACCGCTTGCACATGGATTAGCATTTAGTAAAAGTCCAGGTTTCCCTTTTTTTACTCGCGACCAACTGCCAGGACTGGTTGAAAACAGACGAATAAGTGGGGTGTTTTGGGCTTTCTTCATTAGGACATAAATGACACCAAACACGAGGTTTGTCATCTGAGGCCTAGAGGAGACATTCGTACCTTGCCTAGTTTTTCCTCACAGCGCCAACCCATCATCGACCTACAGTAAGAATTTTCAATCAGAACTGAGTTGTGCACCGATAAAACGCTACTTCTTAGCAAATCAGCAGAAGCACACTCTTCCACTTCTGTGCCAATACCGAATGAAAAACTGCGACTTGTTCCACTTTGATTAGCGAGGCTAGTTGAGACAGTGGTGCTGGGCAACCACCAGCCACAAAAACAATACCCCTGTAATGCAACATGCGCACGTGTCCATGATAGCATCGAGTAAATCAACAAAA